TTTTTTTTTTGCTTTTTGAGTCAGGGTCTCGCTATGCAGTTCTGGCTGGCCGTGAGCTCATTTTGTAGCCCAGGCTGGTCGCAAATTCACAATGATCCTCCTGCCTCAGCCTCCCAAGTACTGGGATTACAAGCGTGTACCACCACGCCCGGCCTATTTAGACTTTTGTACTAGGGATTGAATCCAGGTCCTCACGCGGGCTAAGCACATGCTCTTAGCTTAGCTTTACCCCCGGCTCTCACTTTTACCAATTTTCAATGTTTATTGCTTCCTTGAATTTAACGATAAACTAGAAAAAAATTTTCCCAAATGACTACAGCCTGCTATGCTTTCTAAGAAGGTGAGACTTTCAACAGACTCTATGACATCAGGTTAGACATGAGTGCATATAACTAGTAAAGTTTTTCTTGTCCTCCTTTCCCTAAAAACAACTTTCTTGTGCAGATGATCACACCTCTCAGGAAGCTGGCTCCTCAGCTCAGAATGCAGGTGTGAGGCTAACACAGCTCACTCACCCCGGCTCTCCAGGCTACTGTTCAGACGCCGCTCAGCTGTTTCCAAGAGCTGCTTACAGGTTTTCCAGAGCTGGCACTGAGAGCAAGCGAGGTCAAATGCAGCCATGGCGGGGGGACTAAGGCCTTCCAGAACCTCTCTCAGGGGAGTGCTGGGCTCTGTCAGAGCCGTGCTGATCCAGAAGTCCTCCTGGAGGGTGGGGATGGGGTCTCCGGAGGTGCTGAGCAGCTTGTCGGTCACATCAGAGATGGAGTAAAATACTATCCCTGGACACCCAGCAATGGAGGAAAGAGCAATGGATTAAGACTCTGTCACTTTTATTACGCGAAGTAGTTATTTTAAAACTGTGGTTCCTCTGCACAGGATCTATGTATATTAGCAACACCATTATACCGCACTCTTATTGCATCAAGATAAAGGCAAAATAAATTCAGAATGTCAGGATGAAGGAAGTGGGCCAGGTATATAGCTCAGAGGCATAAGTGCCTGCCTGGGACACACAAGGTCTTGAGTTCGATTCGCAGTACCAAAAAAAAAAAAAAGAAGGAAGCCTTTTTTTCAAACTGGATGTAAAAGCAGTCTGAGAAGAAATGGATCTGTAAATTCTGATCAGAAAAGATCTCTACAATGCATTGCCAAAAAAGCAAGTTAGACAGCAGTATTTTTGCAGAGTACATTTCCAACAGAAATATAAAAAGGATGTGCCCATATTTTTTATATAGGCATGGAAAATTCTTGGGAGGATATATAAGGAATAATGTCTGATGGTAACTTGATATAAAGAGCCTAGACCACTAACAGATGTGACAGTGTGGGACAAGATTCCACTTTCAAGAAATAATGAAACTGGGCGTGGTGGCACATGCCTGTAATCCCAGTACTCAGGAGGCTGAGGCAGGAGGATCATTGTGAGTTCGGGACCAGCCTGGGCTACACAGTGAGCTCAAGGCCAGCCTGAACTGCATAGCGAGACCCTGTGTCAAAAAGAAAAGAGAAAAAAAAAAAAAGAGACAAGAAATAATGGAAAATGGGCTTTGGGGCAGTACAGCCATAGCTAAGACTCAAGACACGTGGATCTCAGGCTATAAATGCTAGTACACAACTTCTTCACTTCAGGAATAGTGAAATAACATATTTTATTGCTGAATAATTACATGCAGAGGAAATAAATTTCCAACCACTTCTAGAAGCCTGAGATAGCAGCCACAAAATGCATAGTAGGAACAGCTCATGCTCTATAGTATAAGTCAGAGGACAAGCTTCCTGGAGCACCTCTAGTGGCAAGTATGTGAACACCTGGTCAGGGAGGTTGGGTGCAGCTAAAAGAATACTCTCAATGTGTCAGGACTGCTGTTTTCCAAGGTAAATGTCTTGCTTTGGGTTTCTGCCTGCTACTATGAAAAGCCTATGATTTCAGTGATTTCTCCTCTTACACCTCCCACCCCCAGCTAGCTACCGTACCACCTGCGGTGGCAGCAGAGAAGTCTGACCTGCGGCTGCAGCGCTGCCAATGGCCTGCAGGGTTGAACGGCCACTGCCAGTTCTTCGAATGGTGCTGTTAGTGCCGTCTGAGTTCTGGTTTTCTATCTTGTGTTCCACTCGAGCCAGCTCCTGGATCACTTCCTGGTAGCGCTCCATAAACATTAGTTCCCCGGCACTGGGTGAGGACTTTAGGTTGAACATGAAGACCACCTGTCAAGGAAAAGAAGAACATGGCTGTGGTAGGCCAGCCGAGTCAGGGAATGGAGAGAGAGGAAGTCCAGCCAAATCATTAGACTGTAGCTCTAAGTTATTTGCTTTGTACGGTCAGAAATTCACCGAATGTTGTAACAGTAGATCAAATAAGAAAATAACTCATAACTTTTAACTGGTCCGTAAAGAAAACCATCAGAGACCCAGTAAAAGACACAACTTCAGAAGAATTATTTATGACTAGTACAGATGTAGGAAAATATTTGCCTTTACCTGTAAACCAGCAATTTAGGTAACTAGACTATTGTGTATGTAAAACAATAGCAAAATGCAAAACAGGAATCCTCTGGGGGCAGTACAGAGTTAAACTGTCATAATTGTTTTGAAAAGTAGTTTACCAATAAACTATAAAGCTACTTATTATTTATTTATTTATTTATTGTCTTTTTGAGACAGGGTCTCGCTATGCAGTTCAGGCTGGCCTTGGACTCACTTTGTAGCCCAGGCTGGTCTCGAACTTGCAATGATCCTCTTGCCTCAGCCTCCCGAGTGCTGGGATTACAGGTGTGCACCATCCCGCCCGGCTACAGCTTTAAAAATGTCTTCTGAGGAAGTAATTTTTTTGTGAGAAAGTTTTTAAAGGGATTAATCCAGAAGAGCTTATGCTTAAAGGCGATCACCCTAGTACATTATGACTATAACAAAGTTGAAAAGAATCTAAGTGTTGGTCAGAAGAAAAATGGAGAATGCTACTTCATCCTACTGCTATAAGGTCACTAAGTTCAAAGTTACAAGGTAAATGCATATATTATAATATAAAAAGCACAATGTAAAATTTAGATTTAAAATAATTTTGGCTATATAAAATCACCTGTATCTTGGAAAAACATTGGCTAAAAATACCCTGTATCCTTAATGGCGGTTGTTCCATACAATAAAGTTAAAAGTGACTTTATTTTCTGGCTTACACTTTGTGGTTATTTCTTAAAATACATAAAACTTGTTCTGTGACCAGCTTAAAAAAAATCAAGCTATTATTAAAAAATAAATCAATCAATCAAGGCTGAAGGAAGGGAGAGGTGGAGGACATTGAGGAAGTGTCACGGGACTCCCAGCCAATTTCCTTTATGTTTGGGCTTAAGGAAGGCTGGGGAGCAACAAAAGCAACTCAAATAACCAAAAACCCCAATTTTAGGACTGAGTATGTAGTTAAGTTGTGGGTGCTTGCAGATATGTGCCAGACCCTGGGTTCCATCCATAGAATCACAAAAACAGAAGGACAAGAAGAAAGCCTGGGGAAGGTCCCATCTTCCCAAAGAATCATCATGATCATTATCCTTAAAGTAGGAGACCTAGTGAGGCATGGTAGCACACCCAGCACTCGGGAGGCTGAGGCAGGTGGATCGTTGCAAATTCGAGGCCAGCCTGGGCTACAAAGTGAGCTCAAGGCCATCCAGAACTGCACAGCGAGACTCTGTCTTAACAAAAAAAAAAAAAGTAGGAGACCTAAAATGATCAGAGGAAGCACTTTAAATTCTTTTGTTTTTCTCCTTGAGACAGGATCATGCTAAATTGCCCAGATTGGCCTCCAACTTGACATCCGTTTGCCTCAGCCTCCGAAGGAGCTGGGATTATGTATGCACCACGCTGCCCAAGAAGAGCCTGATTACAGCTCCAGTGTTAGTGAACCGTCAACATTCTACTCTGCTGCCCCCTCTGCTTCTCAGATATTGGCCTGGCATTATTACTGACAATTGTCTGCATGACAATTTTTAAACTACATGAAAATGTGGCCATGCTCCAAGTCAGGGCACAGAGAAAGAAACAAAATCATCTCCGTGATTTGAAGTGGGAGACTGTGGTTAAATATTTTCTTTTGCCTTGTTAAGACGCTGTTTATGTGAAGAACACAAACAATTTAGCATCTCTGAATCTGCGGTGCTGAGGACTGGATCTGAACACGCGCCCTCTCCCTTCTGCTGCTCCTTTCTTTGCTGTTCTGCAAGTGCTCCTGAGAAGCTCTGGAGTCACATGCATCGAGCTTTCCTCGAGGCCCGGGGGGTGGGGGGTGGTCACAGCCACCTGGGGGCTGACTTCGCATTCTTCACTAGGATGAGGTGCAGCAGAGGCTCCCCTCACCTGATGGGCTTCTGCGAAGTTCCCCCGGAGGATACAGGATGCTAGCATCGACTCCGGTGGGGAGAACATCATGGGGAGGAATGAACTTTGAGGATGGGGCTGCGATCGGCTCTCCAGCTCATTCCGCCCAGACACAGCGCTCAGACTGCCCTCTGTGGAACACAAGGACATGGACGCGAAGTCAGGGAAGCAAGAGAACTTGAGGAAAACCATACGGCTGCTACCTCCAACCACACTCTTACCTTCTCAAAACCCTTCTCATAAAGGGTCTTCATTTTTCCTCAAGTGAAGGGCTAACCTATGCTATCATCACAGAAAACCAGGCCTGTGTAGCACCCGCCACTTCTGCCGGGCAATCACATGTTTCTCTCTGCTGATGGGTTCCCCAGCTGAGGGTGAAACCATGCAGTTCCTTTTCCCAGCTGAAATCTGTTTGGCCATCTGCAGCACCAGTTTTCTTAAACACAGGCTGGAATTTGGCAGCTGGTTGGGACCTACATACCTGAAGTACTTGTGCTCAGTTCACTACTCATACTTTCCAGGGATGGGTTGGAGCCTCTGTCCCGGCCATCTAGAAGGATCAGGAAGAAGAAACTCAATCAACTTCTTACGGTGCAGAAAGTGCTGGCCTGAACGTTAAGATCCAGACAGAGTAAAAGGATAATGGGCATGCACGCTGTTCTTTCAAGGGCAAAGGGTAAGTTCCATAGGGCCCCAGAGCTCATTTGGGTTGCAGCCTGTACCAGTGGCCTCAACTTGTGGGTCTTACAGCCCTAAGAGCTTTCCAGGTATTTCTAGGGGTCAATGGTCGCCATGTGCTCAATAAGCACTGGCAATAGTCTGAGAAAACAAAATCACAACTACTACAACCAGGAAGTAACAGGATACAAAGGGTCTCAGTGTTTTTTGACATAAAGAAAAGGGTATTCTCAGACTTGAAAAGGTAGGGAACTAAAGCACGAGGCCTGGCCTGCCGAAGACCACCACACTCAAAGGCCCGGAAGAAAAGCTTTCTGGGAGTGCTAAAGCTTGCCAATGGAGACTCACTGTCTCTTAGTATGGTTCGTGAGGATTGTATCGGCCTATGCAAGGGAGCGCCCTTGGCTCACTGGGCTGCCCTTTAGAAGGAGTAGGCAGCTATGAGAAAGAGACATGGGTTTTAACTCTCGGGTAAGTCTAGTGAATGCAAACTGCCTTCTGACCCAAACCAATTACTTGAGCAGCTTCAGGGCCTTAGCAACCATCTGTAAAGTTTTTCCACGTTTCTCACATGGCACCCTCCACCCTACCTAATATGTTCACCTTTCTTATTGCCACTTTGCTGCTGAGTATTCATTTTTTAGGAGCTCAGTTCAGGAACCAATTTCATGTAATCTCTTTGCCTGACTTTTGTAGGCTGGTGTTCCCTTCTGAGAGGTTTCTTCTGTCTCCAGGTAGCACCTCAGTTTAGTTTGTCATGTGTACTGGATATTCAAGTGATTTACACATTCTTTAGAGGCAAAGGCTTTGTTCACGCTTCATTCATCTTTGATACCAAGTATTATTGTTCAGCACATAGGAAACTCTTATTATTTCTTGTTAATCATGTAAAATATTGGCACCAAAAGCCAGAATGGAAATTTGAGTATCTAAAAATTTAAGAAGCACTTCTGCGTAATGATACTGTATTAAATTTCTCAAAGAAAACTTAGTCAAAAATCAAAATAGAGAAAAAGTTATAGCACATAATGGCAATCTGTTTCATTAATGCATAAAAAGCTTTCTGTAGTTCCACAAAAAAGATGAACCCACCAGAAAAATGGACCTTACATATGATTAGGCAACTCACACAAAAATATATACAGCTAATAAATGTTTGAAAAAAAAATCTCAATCAAACTACAGAAAGTTAATATTAAACAGTCAAACATCATTATTGTATTAGTTATACTGGTAAAGATTTTTGAAATTCTGGTATTATTCATTGTTGACTACTATATGTGTAAATAGGAAATTACATACAGCTGATAGAAATATAAATCAGTTTACATTTTTAGGCAAGGTGGTAATTTTAATTTAATGTAAAAACACCACTGACCTAGCAATTCTGCTTTGTCCTAAACTCACATAAGTATTCACAGATATGTGCAAGATTATTTTCTATAGCTTTTTTTAAAAAATTTTTTTCACTGCTGGGGATTGAACAAGGGGCCTCCCACATTCTAGGCAAGTGCTCTAGTGCTAAGCTACAATTTCGGCCATCTTATTTTGACACAGGGTCTTGTTAAATTGCCCAGGCTGGGTCTTATTAAATTGCCTCAGCCTCCTGAGTAGCTGGGATTATAGGAATGTACCATCATGCTTGGCTAGCACTGCTTTTTAATAGTAAAAAACTGGACACAACTTAAATGTTCAAGAACATATTTATGAACGTTATATAACATGGTATAGTAAGCAGCATTTAAAGTAAGAGGAGGAAGCCTGGTGTGCTGGCATACACCTATAATCCCAGCACTCAGGAGGCTGAAGCAGGAGGATCCCTGTGAATTTGAGACCAGCCTAGGCTACAAAGTGAACTCAAGGCCAGACTGAACTGCATAGTGAGACTCGGTCTCAAAAAGACAAAAATAAATAAATAAATAAATAAATAAAATAAAGTGAGAGGGGGAAAATTTCAATATATAGCATGACACATCTGTATATATAACTGGATATAACTGAAAAAACAAGCTGCCAATCATCTATCTGTCATCATCATCGTCACACACTGTATACATGGAAGGATATATATAGTATGTTTGTACTGCATGGAGAATTTCTGGAAGATTACTTAAGAGTTAACTTAGGGGAGTGGGACTAGGATATTCTTACAGCACTTCTGTTTGACCATGAGCTCTACCTTAAAGGATATTAGACAACTGGTAATATACTCTTGCCTGGCATATGAGAGAAAGCAAGATACGGGGCGAGAGCTCCTCAGATTACCTGCCCTGCTCCTTCTTGTCCGACGACCCCTGCGGAGACTAGAGTGCCGTGTGGCAATGGGCAGGTACCTTCGGGAAAGTGGCTCCTCTGAAATAGCAAATATAAGGAGTGATCAACTTGGGTGTGACCTTCCGCCTGGGGAGGCAGGAAGCCGATGATGCGCTGATATCCGAGACATGGCTGCTATGGCGATATGCCCTGCATTAGGGTGTGACTGTCATGCAGTTCTACCTCTGTCCCTCATTTCTTCTCCCTCCCCACTTTCTGGGCCTACCAGTTCTGCTCCCTTCTCTCACCTGAGCCCTGGTTGCTTGTTATCACCTTATATCTCCACTGGGCCTCAGAAAGAACCTTAGAAAACTGGTACAGGCGGCTCTGCAGTCCATCTCTGCTTCCTGTGCAGCTCTGGCCTTCCAGAAGCGTTGCCTTATCAGGGGGGCTGTGGCCACTGATCTTATCCAGCTGCTCCTGGAGGAGCCCAAGGAAGGCCCCCATTGCAAACTCATCAGCCAGGAATCCATTGATACCATTAGTAAAGTGCTTTAGATCCAAAAAATTGCTATGGGGCCCTGGGGAGCTGTCTTCGGACTGTGCTTTTAGACAGCTTGGTACTGTATGAGCCAGGTTCCTGGGGGCTCCAAGGGAACCCCGTTCTGACTTCCTCTCAGGCTGTCCTGCATGCTGAGGGCTTTCTGATGGAGACCTCAAAGCCAAGGGGCCTTTCCCCTCGGTGTCATCATCCTCAGCATAGTCTTCAGGCAGGTGAGGCTCTGGGTGAAGATCAGTAGAGGTGATGAGGAGCAATGAGAAGATGTTTTCTAGAAGTTCCAGGCACAAAGAGTCAGGGACGCTGCACAGATACTGCTGACACCTGGCCAGGTAAGTCGAGAAGAGACGTGAAGCACCTAAAGAAGCATGTGCGAGAGAAAAGGCAGGGGAAGAGAAGGAAAGGGAAGACAGAGATTAGGACTATTCCTTGCCAGACTCACAACTTTCTCACAAGTTTAACTCATGCAGTGTTTAATGACTAAGGGAATGAGGGAAGAAAGAAATACAAGTGATTACGCAGCCGTGTCTCTTCATGATTGGCAGCAATATTCTGCTATTTTAATTAAAAAGTAGAGCTCCCTGAACACTCATTTGTTTTCACTTTTTAAATGTGATAGGGCTGGGGAGATAGTTCAGTGGCACAGCGCCTGCCTGGCAAGCGCAAAGTCCTGAATTCGATTCCCAGTATAAACATCCCTCCAACAAAAAACAATAAATGTGATATTATTCTTCATCTCTGACAGATAGTCCATATTTCAGTTCCAGGAATGAAGGCAGCATGTGGACTCCTTATTCTTTATTCTATTGTAATCCCATTGTTAAATTAAAAGTGAAAAAAAAAAAAAAACTAAATTAAAGGTGATCACAGGCTGCTTAGATCTCTTATGAAACACTCAGTAGACAAAAAAATGACCATGCTCAGAGGTAAAGGGCTATTCTAAAGCTAGAAGTAACAAGGAGCTGAGCACTCATAGAAGGTAAGTTAAGGAATTTAGGCTAAAAAAAAAATGAGAGCAATAGGACATTAAGTTTCTACCTCCACACTGGATAATGTAACCTACAAAATTATCTTACGGGTTTACAATTAAAAAATGAAATAGAACAAAAGACAGAAAAATAATCTCAAATGTGTTCTGTTTGGAAAAGTAAGTATTGTTTAAAACTTTGTTTATACACCACACACACATTTGGACACATAAACACACAAACTGTATACCTAGGCACAAACTGGGGTGTGATGTGAAATGACACTGTTATTGTGGATCATAGTTAAAGAAAAAATGGGCGTGGTGGCACACTCCTGTAAGCCTAGCACTTGGGAGGCTGAGGCAGGAGGATCACTGCAAGATCGAGACCATCCTGGGCTACAAAGTGAGCTCAAGGCCAGCCCGAACTGCATAGCAAGACCCTGTCTCAAAAAGATAAAAAAAAAAAAAAAAAAAGTCATGGAGAACCTATGGCACGCGTGCTGCAGCAGGCTGTTTGTATCATTGAACGCTCTGAAAGGTTTACCATCACTGCTCTAGGCAATCATAAGCAATTCACTTGTTTCATTGAGCTGGTAAATGGATGGCATTATTACTCAACTCCATAAAATCAAAGCCATCTCAGTTATGGTGAGAAAGGGCAGCCACCCAAAGCACCCACTGGGACAGGCCTTGCCAGCAATGTGCCAGGGATGGGGTGGGGGGTGCCGTACCTGGGGAGGGGACAGAGTCCTCTGCGGCCAAGGCCGGGTCCTCAGAGGGGCTGTCTTTGCAGTCCTGGCACTGGGAGTACTGGTGTGAGTTCACACAGAGGGCATAGATGGCATACTTCATGGCACAGAAGCCCTGGTAGAGGGTCAGATTCTGACACTGACTCAAGTGCTCGGGAACCAGGGCACCAGCAGAATCTGAATTGTAGAGAGAAGCAGGCAGAACTTCAGTTAATTCTTTCAGCCTAAGCAGCCAGCATGGCTGAACAGGGAGAGGATGTACTTGTAGGTTCTTATCCTCCTCCTTTCTGTGAATCTGATCTCCACCCCTTCCAGGTCTTTCTTCTAACCAACATCAACTTTCTGTCCCCTTTGCTTCCTTTTCTCCATGAACCTACACATCTCATGCCTCTACATGCCACTGTCACCCAGGGTCAAGTTTTACACCCTAGTCCCAGCCCTATTATTGCTCCATTTTTGCTTTTCTCAAGTTCAAGTTCTAAGTGTATCCCCACAAGTCACCAGGGGTCACACTTAAAATATTTCTTTGGAGGGCTGTGTATGTGCACGTTAAGGCCAGAGTCTTAGTTCCTGTAGGAAATCTCTTAAACAAGTTGTTGATCTTTCCAGGAAAATTACACAGAATATGATAACACTGATTTTGCAATCAGTTGTAGGTCCTTTTGAAATAAAAGCAGAGCAGCATCCAGGCTGGGAAATACCTATTGCCATACAAGAGAGACTGTTTCTCTCAAACATATGCATCCCTGGTCTGTATGGCAGGCTGTGACTACGCTATGGTATGATTTTGACAGCAAAAAGACTGGGCTTGTAAATAGGGTTTTGAATTTCAAGCAAAGATTAACAGTTAAAATGTTACTGTTTCAGGTAAATCTTTTGTCCATACCTCTTGATCTGTTTCAATAGCGTATGAAGGTGATATGGGAGAGGAAGGAGGGCCCACTTTTGTGCTGTGGGAGAGCTTATGACATGAAACCGTCCCTCAAAAATTTCTAAGGACAAGGCTATGAATGCAGATGTCAGGTCCTAATTTTGTTTCACTGGGATGAGGGTGTGCCGGTGGCTTCTGAGATCATTCCACAGGACAAAGGATGTGGGACTGTGCCCATGAGATTCCCTACGCCTCACCCAGAACGGGGAGGACCAGCCTGATATCCCTTGATCTAATAGCACTCATTTGGAGGACACCTGCTGGACCACTTTCTTGACAGACAGCCCAGTGATCACATCTAGACAAATCTTCCATCGGAAGAAATATGTGCAGAAGGGGATCCTGGCCAGATTGTTCTGTCAGCACCTCACCGTGCTCTTGTTGGAGGTCCTTGGCCGGCACCTTCTGTAAGAGCTTGAGAACCTCTTCCTCTCTGAGGGCTGGAAGGTTGGTAAGGTGATGGAGAGAGTAGAGCACTGAGTGGCTGTCTCCGCCATGTAAATGACACAGGAGATCTCTCTTTGGTATGGAGTTGCTGAAAGCGGAAGTTGGGCGGATGGAAGGAGAAGCAGCTATATTATTGTCCTGCAGAAAGCTCGTCTTTATTTCCTTTCATTCTTCTCAGGCCCATAACACCAGTTTTACTTCCTCAGTCTCTACTTTTGAGTAGGTCTGGGGTAGAGCCTCTCGTGTATTTATCCTCAGGGAGGTACATCTGTCCAGAGAGGACCCAGAAGGGGCCTTTCTGGTAAGTAGGGTCTAGAAAGGGCCTGCAGTTTCAATTTCCCAATTTCTATACTCTCCCTAGCTTTGAACTGACATAAGCTCCGCTGGGGTTACTTTGAGCAAGGCCCCTTCACCACTTCCCCCTCCACCTGTTCTACTTCAGAAAGTGCTGGTGAGGTGGGTGAAGAACAAGACAGCAACCCAGAGCCAGGCTGTACTCAGGGAAACGTGGGGCTTCACACACAGTTCAGTGAGCATTTGCTGAACCAAAGTATGATCCAGGATAATGTATGACTAAGGACGCGGATGACACTTGCTATGTAATTGTGGGCAAGTTACTTAACACCGCCAGGCTTCAGCTGTTTTACCTCTCAAATAAAGATAGTATCAGTATTTACCTCATACAGTTGCAGAGAGGTCTGATTATCCAGGTGTAGGACTTAGAGCATTGCCTGGCCTATCGCTAGTGCTTAGGAAATGTGAGCTATTGTTGTGTTTATTACTGTCACCCTGAAATTGCCTCTGGTTATGCTCTGATGTTGTAGAGAAGATAATCATTAACTTAGGTTTTTTTTTTTCCCCCCAGCTTAATAGCTGGAACAATCATTCATGACTGGTCAACGTCATCGCCTCAAAATATTCACTGTAGGACACGTGGAGCACGGGGTCAGGTGTGCCGGGCGGTGGGAAGGGGCTGACCATCCAGACCCGTACCTGCTGTGCTGCACACACCACTCCAGGACCTCCAGGTGGGCCCACAGTCCGTCACAGGCGTCCCTGAGAAGCTCATCGCAGCCTTGGTCCTTGTCAACAGGAGGAAGAAGATGCTCACTCAGGTATCTGACATCGGACATTGGGACCAACCTCCCATTCTGCTTCTCCCATTCTCCCAATCACAAAGCCTCAGGGCACTCGCTGATGGAGCGCCCACGGCACAGGGTTAGCAGTGAGCGTTACCTGGGGCCTGTGTAGTGTCTGGAGCAGCCTCTTTGCTGACTCGAGGCTCTGGCAGTGTGTCCAGCCAAGGAGCACGAGCAGGTGCCTTAGAGGCCTGAACTCCCTATCCAGCAGGCAGCCAAGGCTTGGGAAGTCTTCCTCTTTCAACAGCGTTAGTGCTGTCACCTGTAAGCCGAAGAAGGCCGCGGTAGGCCGCTCTGTGCACTAGGAGGGCGTTCCATCACGCTGCTCGTTAGGGGAAGAAGCTACTGAGTTTAGTGGGGAGATTTCTGATAACCACCAAGTGGGCAGTGGCAAGCAATAAATGTTCATAGAAGCACAAGACCATAATGGAAGCTCTCATAGGCAAGAATGACTTCTGTTATAATCCCAGCTCCCAGCACAGTATACAACACACAGGACAAGATCCAGAAATAGCTGCTAAATTAAGTTCAGTTGCACTCTGGAAGGAAAAATGTATTTTTGTTTTTTAAGGCAGAGTCTTGCTATATAGTTCAGACTGGCTTTGAACTGATTATGTACCCCAGGCTGGCTTTAAATTGATGGCAATCCTCCTGCCTCAGCCTCCCAAGTGCTGGGATTACAGGTGTGTGTCAGAATGCCCAGTTCAAAAGGAAAAATTTAGCCAGGCGTGGTGGTACACGCCTGTAATCCCAGCACTCGGGAGGCTGAGGCAGGAGGATTGTTGTGAGTTCGAGACCAGCCTAGACTACAAAGTGAGTTCAAGGCCAGCCTGAACTGCATAGCAAAACCTTGTCTCAAAAAGTCAAAAAAAAAAAAAGGAAAAATTTAGAGTAATTCTCCCATCAGTTATATCATGCAGTGCTGCCATGGTTTTTTCTCTTATACCTTTCAGGAAGCTGAGACATACCCAATATCTTGTTTCCTGCCAAAAGGCCAACATAAAGTGATACAACTGTGGTTATGAATGGTCCTGGTTCCCAGCCTCCTCTCCTGTGGGATTGTGGGATGGATGGAACCAGTGACTTGCCACTAATCAGGGTGCTTGTGTCAAATAAATGAGTGACAGGGAGGTGAGGAATGGAAAAGCCCAGGCAGAGTTCAGAATCCTTTTGTGATGGAGAATAAGTAAGCTCGACCTACCAGAATCTGCTCAAGGAAGTGCTTGCTGTTGCTCAGGCAGTAGAAAAAGGCCACTTTCCAAGCCTGGGCTGGGTTGGGGGTGGAGAACAAGGTCAGCATTGTCCGCTCAGGCTCTGGATGATCCGGGGAGACTGAACACAAACCAGAAATGGTTACCGGGACATCATGAGCTCTTCTTTTCTAAGCCAGAGCCCATTTGAAAAACCAACTGATGTGAGAGTAGGCTGTTTAAAAAACTGAAACCAGGTTTCCTATGCTTTATCTTAAAGACATCTTACTTCTCTCAGGAGCTTCTGCAAAGCTACTGTTTTTATTGTTCTTTCCCCCCCATCTCTTCTCCGCCCCCCACATCACTCTGTCTTGGGTAATGGGTAAAACGTGTAAGAATCTAACCCATTTCTGCTTAGCTGCTCTATGAGGGTCCCGAACAAGTGAGCATCAGTCTAGAGCAGCGGTGGCAAACCTGTGGGATGCGTGCTGCAGCGGCCCGTTTGTTATCACTGAAAGCTCTACAAGGTTTGCATTGCTGGTCGAGGGGAACTTCAGAGAGGCTGGGCATACTGGAATTACCAAAGCACAGAAAAAGGGCCGGCCGTGGCGGCTCACGCCTGTAATCCCAGCACTCAGGAGGATCTTGCGAGTTTGAGGCCAGCCTGGGCTACAAAGTGAGCTCAAGGCCAGCCTGAACTGCATAGCGGGACCCTGTCTCAAAAAGACGACAAACAACAAGAAAAAAGCACACAAAAAATGAAGAACGGAACATACCTTTCCCAGACGTGGTGGCCCTTGGTGGCTTTTCTGCGACCTTTTCTGCATAGGTGTGGCCATAGAGGGACAACAAGCCCCGTCCAGCCTTGCGTACCAGGCAGCCAAGCACCTGCTCCTCCTTTAGGGGACTTCCCTCGGTCCTGCAGGCCTCCAGGAGCTCCTCACACAGGACACGCAACTCAGGCCCAGGGGACTCTGCAGGGCAACGCAGAGTCCGCAGCGCTCTGTAGATGGCATCAGTGTCCCCAGGGGCCCCAGAGGCAGGCCCGTGCAGAGCCTGCAGTGCCTTTCGAATAAGGCCCACCAGTGCCTTCTGCAGAGGCCAATGACAGAGGCTGGTGCCGTCATCTTCCCCAAGCAGGAGCTCCAGCAGCGCCTGTGCTGGCTGGGGAGCCTGCCTTAGAAGGTCCCAGAGCACAGAGACAGCTTCGGAGGTGAGCCGAGGGGTCCAGCTCTCCTGTCTCTGACTTGCGTCAGGCGCGGGGGCTAATGTGCCTTGTGCTACAATCTCATACAGCTCCTAGGTAGAGAAGAAGAGAGGTGGCAGTGGGGATGGGGGTGTTAGCCATGTCTAGCATGTGACTTGTATGCAGTAGCAAACACTTCTGTAAGGCTTAGTATGTGCTGGCTCTGAGCTAGGCGTTTTACACAGAAGAATCAAATTAACTCTTACAACAACATTAACTACTTAACTACTATGGCAACTCCTTTTTTCCTTTAAATTTGGATGTCAGGTATTTTCTTTCAGCAATGAGAAAAGTCACTAGGACAGTATTTCTTCCATGTGAAATGAAGAAAGTCTTTAATCAGTAGCTAAATCTAATACTTTTTTTGAGACGGGGTCTCGCTATGTAGCCCAAACTGGCTTTGATCCTCCTGCCTCAACTTCCTGAGTGCTTATAGTTAGTACTTGGACAAGTACTTGTTATAGTTGGACAATCTCCCTCAAGTATTCTAAAACCAGGTAAGTTTACCCAAACTCTAAACTCCTCTCAAAGGGGCCTCTACCAGACCTTCTCTGAGAACAAAGTAGAGCTGATGTCTTAGAGACCTATCTCTGCTGGGTTGCAGAAAGCTGAGCTTGTTGAGTGACTGCTCAGGTGGCCCAAAGGTTCTCTCTCACCTTAAGGATGTCCTCTGGAATGTTATTCTGGAGGTCTTCTGACAGAAAAAGAAACTCAAGTTTTCTCTGGTAAACAGGTGGGAGTAACTTCTAAAAGAATTGTAAGAAAGCACAGAGATTAGGCACATACTTTAACACATTGTAAGTAAATGTGTCTGTCCTGATAGTCTGATGGCTTCTACTTTTCTAAAATAAAGCATTTTAAACCACTAAATTTCTTGATGTTTTCAGATACTTTATAAACAAAGTTAAACTTGGTCAAAAACCAATATGTAAAGCCCACACTGATTAGCCCTAAACTCAAAGGTTTATTAATTTCATGTGATTTTTTAAAAGATTTTGCTTTTTTATATTTCAATTTAATTATTACATTTGTATGCTTTTTTTTTTTTTTTCAGTGTGACCTTTTTCTTTATCATTTGAGCTTTCCCCCAGGAAATCTCTTTTGCTGTGTCTTTTTTTGGTTTTCTTTTTTTGTCTTTTTGAAACAGGGTCTCGCTATGTAGTTCAGGCTGGGCTACAACTCACTATGTAGCCCAGGCTGGCCTCAAACTTGAAGCAATCCTCCTGCCTCAGCCTCCTGAGTGCTGGGATTACAGGCGTGTGTCACTACAGCCGGCAAATTTTGGTGGTGGTGGGGTACCGGGAATCGAACTCAGGACTTCATGCTTGTCAGGCAGGCACTATACCTCTGAGCCAAACCCCCAGCCCCTTGTTGTGTCCAAAATACCCAGGTACAGGTAAGCTTGGCAGGGTATGGCTCCTAGAACCCTCTTTTGGTCCAAACCTGTTTTTGGTATTAACTATCTTTTCTATATGAGTTGTAGAAAAAAGTAAAGGGAGTGGGATTTAATATTTTCTAATGTTTACTGAACAGTTATACGTAATTTTACTTTTCATTTAGTTTCTGATCAAATAAACCTATGGCACATAGTTACATGGTTTAAAAATTATCTTTATTAGGTGAAATAGTTAGCAAGGCTTTTCAGTTACTCTAAACATGGAAAGGAAAAAGTGACCCCCTACTTTTTTGCAGTCCTAGGGATCCAACCTAGGGCCTCTCCCATGACAGGCAAGGACTCTATTGTGAATCCACAGCCCAGCCCAAAAGAAAACTTGTTTTTGTTTCTCTGAGATGAGGTCTCACTTTTTTGCCCAGGTTGGTCTTTAATGCATGAGCTTAAATGACCTTCTGCTGCCCCATGCTAAGCAGCTGGGACCCCACCGCACAGCTGACCCCTAAGTTTGGTAGTGAGATGGGCCGTCAGCATGGTCTAACGCAGAAACAGAGAGAGCTGATGACTTCCCCACACCTGCCTGCTGCCCAGTAACTTCCCTCGCCCACTCCTACTTACAACTCAAAAATGAGAGTCTGAGGCTAACGCTGACAAACAGCAAGTCAGAGACATCTGTAAATCAGGCCTCTGGGTAAAGCTTCTCAAAGATGAGTTTTATTGGATGCTAAAAGCACCGAATTAGCGTGTGTATATGCACCAGTTATAACACGAGATCACATTTCCTCCATCCATGTGGCCCCTAATGCCTTGTTGGCCCCGAGGCTTAGTCTGACCACGCCCTTCCCTAATACGCACCAGTGTCATGTGAATGCTTGCACAATACTAATGATTACAGGTTGGTGGAAAATTCATGCCGAGACGCTGAAGGTGACTGGCTAGTGTTCTATTGAGGATAAGAGGAAGGAATAGGGAAGAAATCTACGACGCAGGCCCCTGTAGTCTGGTTAAGATTTTAACACTGTCTAGAATCCTAAGGTCTAGTCAGGTTATGTTTATTTTACTGGTGAAATTACTTTAAGCATATTCAGGATCACAAAAGACTAACATTCACCCAACAGTCAAGACTTTGCTTAATGTTTCTAAGCACAGATTTCCGTGCTGTAAGGGCAAGGCAAGTTCAGTGGGAAAAAATAAGAATATACAAATATGTACACTTAAAAAAAATATACAGCTATATAGCTTCCCAACGAAGTAGAACTACTATTAATGATGTAGCCTAAGCCCATTGGGCCATTTTCTGCGCCTGTTTATCAAATGTACTTTTTCCTAAACTGTTTTTTCACCTTATGAAGTGTGAACATCCTTTCAGGTCACTGAAAATTTACTTACCATATAATTTTTTTGGTTTTGGTTTGTTTTTTTTTTTGAGACAGGGTCTCACTATGTAGCCCAAGCTGGCTTTGAACTCCCAGCAATCCTCCTGCCTCAGCCTCCCCAATGCTGGAATTACAGGAGTGCACCGCCATGCCCATCTTATATTTTCTTATGTATTATATTTGAATACTGGCACAATGTTTCATATATACTCTTCCATATATTAACTACTCCTGTATCCTACGAACATGGGGGTTGTTCCAAGTTCTCTTCTATTAGAAGCAAAGCAACAAATATTCCTGCAGCTAAAGTTTTGTATACATGTTTACGTATGTAGGGATAAATCACTGTAAAAGGCAGAAGGCAAATGAAGGAAAGGAAAAATAGAATCACTGCTTCAATCAATAATTAAAAAGCAAGATTTGGGCAGAAGGTGAGAGCCTGGAAAGAAGAGGCAACTACCAAGTTCCTAGATGAAGGCAACTCTAGGATAATGTAGAACTACTCCAAGAACACATGTGTAGAAGCTGGGAATGGTGGTGCATGCCTGTATTCCCAACACTTGAGAGGCTGAGGCAGGAGGATCACCATGAGTCTGAGGCCAACCTGCACTACATAGTGAGCCCCTGTCTCAAGAAATAAAAAGCAATCAAACAACAACAAGGAGAATACATGGGCAGTCTTGGTCCTTATACTCCCTGCCTCTCTGAGCAACAAAAATATTTCCACAACTGATTAAATAAGCAGGCTTTAAAGAACGAATCATCTGTGACAAAACAAGAACAACTCTTAGTTTGTGCTGAGGAGACAGGGGAGAGAAATCCACTGCTCTCCACGGTTGAGCAACTGTACAGAAAAAGAGCAACATCAGCACCACGGACGCAGCTCCTCTGCTGAGGGGAAGTTCGTTTGGTTTGACAAATTCCATGCTTGCATTAGAGAGACCCTGAGTCAGTGACAGGACTTATTTTCTTTGAAAATATTATTGCAGATAAAGTATTTCACCTTAAGCTCAATTGTTTCTTTTAAATCTCACTCAGTTATCCTGGGTTTCATTGTAGTTTCTTTCATCTTGCTTCTTTTTCCTCCCTCTCCTAGTGTTCCTGACATTTCTCTTTCCTAGACACTGAGGTACAGCCTGGAGAAGAGATGTATTAGGTCAGTAATTTCTGTTATCCTTCACAGCTCTGTGAAAGACACGTGCCATGCAAAAATGGAACTAAAAAAATTAATCCTGGTGACTGAAGGGAGTGAAAACAATAAGAAAAATTAGGCTAAATGATGATATTTTACTTTTTTTTTTTGTCTTTTTGAGACAGGGTCTTGCTGTGCAGTTCAGGCTGGCCTTAAGCTCACTTTGTAGCCCAGGCTGGCCTTGAACTCCCAATGATCCTCCTACCTCAGCCTCCCGAGTGCGGGGGATTACAGGCGTGCGCCACCACACCCGGCTAAATGATCAACATTTAAGAAACAATTTCTTTCTAGTCTATGTAAGCTAAAAAATAATATTGAGATAGAAAAAGCAGAAGACTGGGATTCAGATTTTGGTTTAACCAGGCGTGGTGGTGCACACCTGTAATCCTAGTACTCAGGAGGCTGAGGCAGGAGGATCGTTAGGAGTTTGAGACCAGCCTGGATACAAAGTGAGCTCAAGGCCAGCCTGAACTGTATAGTGAGACCCTGTCTCAAAACAACAACAACAACAACAACAACAAAAAAGATTTTGGTTTCAGCTCCATGAGTTTATGGTATACCCTTGGGCTAATGATGGTTCCTTACTTAAATCTTAAAATCTGAGGTTAAGTATGAAATTATCTCAGAAATTCCATTAATGGAGCTCGTCTGTAGTAAACACTGTAAAAAAGCTTTTAGCAGGCTATTTCCTTAAAATAAAACAAACAAACAAAACACACTTCTTCATCCATTTTCTCTCACTATTAATTTGCTCACCATGTTTTGATATCTGGCAATTTTTCAATCCATGTGAATTATCAAAGTACTATAGTGGAACTTCAACCTGTAAGATATTTCAGTGTTTTGGACTAGCGAAAATGAGATTTTCAGAAGAGAAGCCAGGCTTGGACTTGGCCTTTTTCTCAATAAACCTATTGTTGAATAGATCCAAATGTTATGGGCTCATATTTTATTTGGTATCTTGTCACTTTCAATGAGTTCTACAAAGCTCTTTGTAGGCACAGACTCATAGTAGTATTTAATGAAATGGCATAACCTCAAATGGTATTAAATGACAATGTATGTTAGTAAGTTAATGATGAATTTATGTAAGGAGACAGTAAGAATTTAAACAATCGTTATTGTCAACATTGAGAAGCAATAGGACCTACTTTGCAATAAAGGAAGTAAAAGACAGAAGGGAAATCCCACAACCACTCTAAGTTCTTCTCTGTCTTGGCCTTGGGAAAATTTAAATGTAAAACCTCTTACCTTTTCCTGGGCCAACCATTTTTCCAGTACAAGAAGCCAGAGCCACGCTAATCTTTGGGGGCTGATGTCCTGCCCACATCTGAAAAAGGTGAAAAGAAAGGAGTTTCTACAGATATTTTCTCTTTTGTAATCCAAAACTTAGAATTGACTCTTAGACTATTTTAATCCTGACGGGCTGGGGATATAGCTCAGCGGCACAGTGCCTGCCTGGGCAAGCACAAGGTCCTTAGTTCAACTCCCAGTATCAAAACAAAACAAAACAAAACAAAACAAAACAGGTCAGGCGTGGTGGCGCACACCTCTAATCCCAGGACTCGGGAGGCTGAGGCAGGAGGATCGTTGAGCACTCAAGGCCAGCCTGGTCTACAAAGTGAGCTCAAGACCAGCCTGAGCTGCATAGTGAGACCCTGTCGTCTGAATAGGCAAGTCCTAATGAGAGATTTTCAGTTGCATATGATAGTTCATTAAAATATCAATGCCAAGGGGCTGGGGACTTAGCTCAGCAGCACAGCGCCTGCCTGGCAAGCACAAGGTCGTGAGTTCGATCCCCGGTACCAGAAAACAAAACAAAACAAAAAAAACCAAACACAAAATATCAATGCCAGAACAGATCTGATAGCTTTTATAAACAGTTTCAATCCCACCTGCATATCCTCCTTTTTTATTTTTTTTGAGGTGTCTTGCTGTGTTACTTAGATTAATCTGGAACTCCGGGGTTCCGGTGAGCCTTTTGCCTCATCCTTCTCAGTAGCTGGGACTACAGGCACATGCCACTGTGCCTTTTTTAGTGTTGTTTTAAAACATAATAGTACAAAGAAAACCATATTAGCTAATGCTATCTAAAGAATACTCTTGAACATAGAATGAATCAAATATAAAAAAAAGGAAGTCATAAAAAATTATTTTTATCCGTATGAAATAAAGTTATAAGAATGTGTAATTCTCTCTTCCTGTAAGCGGCCTGAGGTGACCTGCGAAAATGGTTCGCTACTCTCTCGACCCAGAAAACCCCACAAAATGTGACATGCAAATCCAGGGGCTCAAATCTTCGTGTTCACTTTAAGAACACTCGTGAAACTGCCCAGGCCATCAAGGGTATGCATATCAGAAAGGCCACCAAGTATCTAAAGGATGTCACATTAAAGAAGCAGTGTGTGCCATTCAGGCGTTACAATGGTGGCGTTGGTAGGTGTGCCCAGGCCAAACAGTGGGGCTGGACACAGGGTCGGTGGCCAAAAAAAGTGCTGAATTTTTGCTGCACATGCTTAAAAATACAGAGAGTAATGCTGAACTTAAGGGTTTAGATGTAGATTCCCTGGTCATTGAACATATCCAGGTGAACAAAGCACCCAAGATGC